GGGAAAGGGGGCCGATAATTGAGGCGGAAGGAATGGAGGGAGGGAGTCATGTTCCCAAAACACGACTTCTGCTAAATATTCACACTTTTTTTCCCCGTCGCAGACATTTCGGGAACCAAGAGCGTTAGAGCGGAACCTTTTACAGACGCCAAGTACAGTCATTCAGTGGTTCCTGCTTCCTTCACAAGACAAGAGCACGACAACGCACCAGAGAAAACAAACGGCACTAAAGTGCACTGCAATAAACCGAGCAGAGTAAATGAGCACCAGTGTTTCTGGTCGCCGATGTTGAAGTCAAGGCAGGAACAGAGGAGGATCACAGTGATTTTTACCAAAACGATTGACAGGTCATCAGTCAAACGGCCGTGTGACAACCAACTCTCCCTCTGTGTGAAAGACAAGGCGCTCAATGTAGCGAGGAGGCCTCAAATTCAAACTGCGACCTTTGCTGGTGAAGGTGGAATGATCCCGGGGGCGGACGGGCCTGCGGGCTGCGCCGCCGACGGCTGAGGGGTCTGCGCCTGTCAAAGGTCGTCTTGTGGTCTTCAGCTGTGATGGATCGTTGGTTCCTCCCAACAGACGGATCTTTCTGCGGCGGCAGCAGCAGCTCCGGCCTGCGGGGTCACAACAGGAAAGCCCCTGCAGGCTCTCAGTCACTCACGGCATGCGGCTGGACGTTATCTGTCTCTGGATCTCCTCCTCCGCTTCCCCTCCATTGAACACCGAGTTGCACGGCACGTCCATTCCCAGCGCGTCCAAAGTCGAAACAGACCTGATCTGGAATAATTCGGAATGTTCGATGCAGTTAATGGACGTAAACTGTTGCCAAGTAAAACAAAAATGTTCAGAGACGGGTTGATAAGTTTTAGTCATTCACTCACAAAGGAATCAAAGTCTTTTACTTTGAACGCAGGTCACGCAGATGTTGGATTAACTCATCTCCCTTTTTTCTCACAATCAAGCTCCCCTCTTGCTTCCGTCTGTGCTCGCGTGAGGCTTCCTGGTGGATGTTTGTATTTGTCAACCCTCGGCTCATTACCCGTGCAGGCAGCTGTTAGAGGGCGGCTCCTTCACTTGAGATCTTCATTGACATCGAGCATGTGCCGATAACAGCCAGGTCGCCCTCCTCCACCGATAATAGACAAAAGGTACTCGCAGGCATTTTCTGTTATTATATATATATAACAATCGTATTAGACTATTGCCACAAGCGAAAATAAAATGGCTGTTTCATGCACATCACCATGGAGGGCGATTGCTCGTCGTCACACACATCACAAGAGTCGTATGATATCTAACTCAGTTGCTGCCCATTTTTTAATGCACTTTTCTCCCAAAACTGGAAAGGTGTCAATATGCGATTTTAAAAGATTACATAAAACATAAAATGGTGTTTGCTTGAGTTGGGAAGCACTAAACTTCAACACATGAGCTTCCTTATTCTCCTTTTTGATGTCAGTTGCCGGTCGGGATCAGAATCATCACTCTCTCGACACAACATGCAGCACATGTTGTAGAGATTCTTTCAAGCCAAGCTTTCCTTATTACAAATAATTCAAATCTGGTTTCAGACATGCATTATAAATGTTGCCTTTTCCCATCTTTCCTTTACAAACCAAGCTAAAGAATAATTGATTACACGGCACAAGCAAGGACACATTCTTCCTCGTGTCTTGTGCTTTTTGCTGGTTGGATCGGAGGGACCTTAGGCTATCTCCTCTTAACAAAGGGAACTTGTTCCGTGAGAGGCACAATTAAAGAGTGGGAGGCAGGAAGATTACACACAAGCTTTATGGGCACCTCCAAAATGACTCAAGAGCCGACTATTCAACAGCTGGTAAAATGATCCATAGTCACGAAACACGCAGAGCCAATCTTCTCCCTGTAACGCGCACGCTCCTCTTCCTCCTCCTGCCAGACGTTACCGCCACGGGGGTCACGCAAAGTCAAAGGGAGATGGAAAGCGGTTCTGACGGCGGGGCCGAAGTGAACTAAGGCGTTCAGTCTGGCGGCTGTCGGAAGAGATGAAGCCACAGCGGCCTTCCAACGTCAGCAACACAGCGCACAGTAGATCAGTAATAACTTTAACACATGACGACGCACCACTTTCCATCACGTACGCAACTTCAAAGGGGGGAAATATGGTATTTATTGATGGGCCCATAATTCAGTCCTCCTCCAACGCCGGTCAAATTTCAGTGGACGAGGCAGGGAGAATGGGAACCAGATGATATGAGGCCGGGGCCCCAAACCCGGGCTTTCAATTTAGGCCGGCAGGTTGTCGGGTCGAATCCTGATGGGGGGAAGAGACCCCCCCCCTTCACCCCCCGGACCATGGGGCAGAGAGAAAAACAACCTCTAGACCTGTCTGATGTATCCACACATCACATGAGCTCAAGAAAACCTTCCTCATGTTCTGAGTATTTTAATTGTCATACAACATTGTTTTTGTTTTTCATAACATTTTCAGGTTTTAGGCTGATTTTTGATTACTCGTGTGAATCGAATACTAAATAATTACATTTTCTCATTTAATTTTATTAAAATAATAGTTAACAGGTAAGCTATTGCTATTAGCTAGATATCTAAAGTTAGTTTTTTGGCTTCATACCCATAATAAAAAGTATTAACTCTGGAACGACTTTGTCTATTTGTACAATGTGTGTTTGTGGGGGTAAAGGGGAACCCTAAGTGCAATAATCTGTAACAATTAGTTAATATGTTACTAAAATATATCAATATTAACGTATTGGTTCTGACCTGGTTCTGGCTTGTTTGTTTCCAAAGAGTTAAATAATAACGGCTACTTTAAACCAACTATTTCAGCTGACTGTTTACACCATGTCCCCGTTACTGTTTCCCCTTCTAGGTTCACTTGCTCACTCGCGTTCATGTTTAAGATTGGATTCCTATCTCTGTCTCTACCACTCCAACAAGCATAACGGGTGATTATTCTTTAGCTTTGTTAAACTGATTTTAACCCCCTTCTGTGGTGCAGCACGCGCTTTCTGTCCCACCGGCTCTTTCATACAGGAAACATACAGCCTCTACACGGGACACTGTGCGAGCCGTCCGTCCCATCCTGCTCTGCTCACGCCGAAGGGATTTCCACAAAGCAAACAGTGGTTAGCTTCGCACTTAGTGTGGAGAGCCGCTGCAACCAACAAGTTCACTTCCAGAGAGAAGCTCGGTCTGTAGCTGCAGGAATGAATAGTTCGCTGGCAGAGATCCAAGCTGGATGTGGTTTGACTCTGAGCTGTAGCGTTTGCTCCTGCAGGGGAGGGGATGAGAAGGGGGAAGGAGAGAGAGAGAGGGGGGGGGGGGGGGCTATCAGTTAACGTGGTTGGAGCCATGCAATCTGAGATCCTCTGTGATTCCTCTGCTATGCCTGAACGCTTGACTGGTATTCATGTTCTCCTGCAACAATCACCATGCAGATGGGCCGGTTCCGCGCGCGCCGTACAAGTTACATTTGCTTCTGTGACTGTTTACATGCAGCTGTTTGCGATGTACTTTGCATTGCTGAGCCCTCTGCTTTCATACTTTTCCCACACAGAAGATGACGTGATGTCACGCCTGCAAATTTACAGGGCGGTTGTGATTTTGATAGAAGAGCAGCCTCAAACATCTGCATGGAGTAGTGGCTTTCTCCTTCGTAGTTTATGTATAGGCACACTATTTTTAGTGATGCTCACCAAACATACAGTTAGAACACCATTGTTAAACACAACGTACCATGTCCACCCACTATTTGAGTGACGGACAGAGAGACCGCCATGCTCATCAACTCATTCCAAACTATATAGTGGGTGAATGTCGATCCTTGAACTGAACAAATGGAAAAAAGTTATGTTTAAAGATGATTTAATGAATGCACCTTTATATTATGTGTGTCTAACAGTGTATGATGGGCCTAACCCTTAAGACTGCTGTAATGAAACGCATCAATACAATAGTGTTTGGCCCTCAGTCTTGGTTTTTGGGGAAACAAAAGTGACACAAAGGGGGGGAGCTACAACCGATCAATAAATAAGACCCAAAAATGACAAGCTGAATCTTCATGTTCTTTTTTTATTGTAAATGGGTCATCATTTAGTAAATGAACATCCTGCTGTATTGACAGCAAACCCGGAAAACCCGGAACTAGAGATCAAGACCATAAACTCTTCCACAATGTTTCATGACAATTGGCTTCTATCAGTAAACCAAATCTGGACATCAACTGGAAGACATTTTGTTTCCTTGGTATTGTTATGCAATAAAATGTGTTGGAAACTTCACACGTTGATGTCATGCACAGTATTTCATTTGAACTAAAATAATAACTGTTTGTATATCACAAAATATCTGGGATTTACCTCATGGTGACAATCCTTGAGCCGTGGAGCTGAATATTTTTCCCTTCAAGCACATTGCTCATTAGAGGGCAGGGGGGGGGGACAAACCCCCCCTGAACACTCACCAGAACAAATGTCAGTGTCTGCTGTGTGAAACAGTCCTCTTTGTGTTTCCTCGATCCCTCGTTACACGAATCAATATGCACGCACACATTGCCGCTCAATGTGCAGCTCAGCCATCTGTCTCTCCGCAGTGGGTCCTTGTTACCTGTTGTACTCTTTCTTACCCTCCGCATTCACCAGTCGCATCCCAGTGCCAGCAGTCCCTTTCACCGTCCCGTCCAGGGAGGGGTTCTCACAGAAAGGGGGATCCAAGTGCCTCGGGGGGGACCTTACAGGGCTGCTTGTTATTACAGGTTATTCCTCTCATTCCTGTAACGATTTGATATGAAATGAAATAGATGGGATTCTTTAAATGTAAGCCACATCACTGCCAGAGCCTGTGGATTAAGAGCGATGGGAGACAGATGCTTCTCCTTAGAGCCTTGGAGCATGGGGGGGGTGGGGGGGGGGGCTCAGGTTTACGTTGCAGCGGTCTTAGAAGTCAGTTAGCTGTCCAGACCTGGGCCATATGGAGTTGGTTAGGAGCGGAGCGCCGAGCCTCGGGCCCTTTCTGTCTCCACGCGAGGACCAGCGGTGAACGGTGCAGCGAGACATTTTCCAATTGCTGCGGGCGCCATAAGGCTTCAAAGATTACAGTCAAAGTTTCTTGGAGGCGAGAACAACAAAAGCTGGCATCCGATAATGATGAAAGGGCTCCAGAGGGAGGCGTTCCTGCCTACAAAAGCATTTCAAGTGCGACAAAACATGAATCAAAGTTCACATTTTATCTGAATTTGCTGGAAGCTCATCTGTCGTTTGTATCATGTTTAAACTGCATGTAGTCCCTTTCAAAAAGTGGCTTTGTCCAGATGTGAAATTCATGGTCCTTATGAAAAAATGTTCTTTAGGTGGCTGTTTTCCTTTTTAGTAACTCTCATAAAGATCTTTGTAAAAGAAAAAAAACCCTGTCGAAGCAGCTGTTTGTGTGAGACGGTCCTTCTAATGACCCTCAGTTAAATGTGCACCTAAAGCGTCCATTATCAATGAATAACAGGAAGGTAATGTTCCTGCTCCTAAACTACCCAACATTTTCTGACCGATGGCCCCTCAGAATAAGGGGTCAGGGCCAATTATAAGCAAGCTGCTAATAGTGTTTTATTGAGTCCAGATGTTGTTCACATTTCTTACATCATCTACAGATTTCCTGGGCACAGGCCTCGAGTTTCTGATGAAGGTGATCCTGCCAACTTTGAACTCGTTGGGGATGCCCAGCCTCCATTAGTTAAACACAGCACACAGTTAATGACCAAAAAGCATACAGGAACTAACGAGAAACATCACAGTGTTTCATTCACTGCACTCTTACACACTGTAAAAAGCAATGCGCTTTGTATTACACAAGACTTCATTAATTATTGTTTTCGTCAGTTTGCTTTGTTGAGCATTTTCTTTCCGACGTTTCAGCCCAGTTTCCACTTTAAATTGACCATTTGGTCTATTTTTATCCAATACTCACAACTATAAAAGTTGTTTAAAAAGTCTAATCATTTTTATTGTTTTGAACGGTGTGTTTTGGTTACCAGCTAACCAAGCTGGCGTAAATCTCAATCTTGCAAGATGATTATCTAGAAGGGCTTCCACATTAAATATGGTCATCTGATTTGTATGTTATTATAAAAGATTATTAATAAAGGAAGAACCAGCCAAGCCACAGCGAGCTCCTCCCTATGCACAGGGAGGCTTGTTGGATGGGAGTACGTTTCACTCCGTCAAAACACCTTCTTCTCAGCGTAACAAGAAGAGGAATGAGAACAGGCCACAGTTTGTCTTGTTCGTGTCCAAACAAACAGTACTTTTTAAAGTTTGTATGTTTTAACATTGACAAGGCAGCACTGCTGCAGACACATTCATTCTGGGCTGCACAGTTGACATTTCACATCGAGGCACTAAGTTGTGTAATGACTCCTGGTCTGGATGTAGTCACAGAGAGATGCACTCGTGGAGCAGACTTATAAATGATCTCATTGCATAATCTACAAACCTCCAGTGGTTTAATAGAACAAAAGGCTAAAGTCAAAACACCCATTGTGTGTTAGCAGGAGACTTGTTTGCAGAGCAGCTTATGGGTTCTGGTTCGCCCACAAACTACATGCTCGTTAGTTTGTTTCCCCTGTTTGCTGTTCATAAATATCTCTCTTTCTTGTCTTCTCTCTCTCCCTGTTCCCTCCCTCCCTCTACACAATTTGTTACACTAATAATTGTACATTTATAAAAATGACCGGGCCGAGCTGCATGCTGGCTACAGCTCACAACAAGAAGTAACTGTGTTGCTACATGAAAACACAGAAAAGAGCGATACAGATACCAAAACCACACCAAGAGAGGAGCTGCGTCTGTTTGGAGGGTTTTTGAAAATTCTACGTAAGTTAGGTTAGATCTAAAATGATTTATTACAAAGTCTGTCGAGCCTCTGGTGGCAACACTAGCAGCCACAACGAGCTAATCCGCTGACTAGCTAACACGCTAACGAGAAAACACGCTGGCCAGTTGCGAGCAAGTTGGCCAGCAAGCGGCGAACAGCTGTTCGGGTCCTTTTCGGGGTGCGTGAATGAATGTGTTCACTTGAAAAAGCACTACCATCAGAATCTCTGTAAATACTGTGATATGGATGTTTGGCCGCACCGCTCAGCCCTACTTCCCCCTCACACTCTCTTGGCCGGTTGTCAAACCCTCGGAGCCATTTGGACCATCACGCCCAAAGTTGGCTGGAGCTGAAATAAATTACTGACAAACAAAAAAAAAAAGCGCTTAGCAACCTCTTTACGGTGGAGCAAGAAACACAGCAACAGGTTGTCTCTTGTGGTGTCTGGCTTGGTGGGTTACCTCGACTGAATTATAAGAGCTGACGCAGAATGATACAGGGAGAGAGGAATTTACATGACATCACTGCGTGTGCCAGAGGTGCCGAGTCGGCAGTAATAAGACATGATATACCGTGTGGGCGATGACACTACCGGCCTGTGATTCTGCATCATGGTGATCATCCACGTGATTACCGTTTCTTTTCACTGCCGGCAGACGGGAGTCATCATGAGCGTCTCTTTCTGACTTGGGAACGTTCATCTCAACTTCACAGGCTTCATGTGGGAAGTGGACGTGGTCACCATTGCGTCACCCATTGGTTTGTAGACTGCTCTCACACTTTTCAGGCTCGCAAGCTACTTTTCAAATAACCAAGTCGTGGCGATCTACCCCTCCCCTCCGAGGACTGGCTGACGGGCGGCCGGTAAGTAGTGGCGGTGACCAGCAACGGCGGTGGCGTAAGCGCAGAACGAGTCGATATGAAGACAACAACGAGCCTCTCATCTGTGAGAAGGAGGGAACCGTCACAAGCGTCGCGCACATACTCAGTACCTCACTGGAGTCAGCCTGGGCTGCTTTGGAATTTAATTAAATGCGTCCGTTAGTAAGCAAGGATCGCTAATTAGCAATATCATTAGTTTCCGTCATCTCCCTCGGGAGACCACACGTGTGACGTGACGTCGTTTTGTGTGCCTTCGACCTATTGGGCCCCCCTGCCCTAAAGCACGCCCTCACTGTATTTACATCTAAATGGACCATCATTTAATAAATGAACATGATGCTGAATTGACTTTCTATTGTATTGTATCGATCTCATGTAAATCTTTGTAAAGTTTTTTTTATCTGTACATACTTTAAAATGTTTTTTGTGTTATTGGCCGCCTCATCAACAGGCCGTGTCCCCCACCGTCTGCTGAGTGCACAGGAATGCTCCCCGTAGGAAATTGAAAACTTACTAACACAAGTCTGGGCGACGGGAAATTAAAATAAAGCAGTCAAGCGTTGGGAGTCTGGGATTCTGAACCTGACATGTCGGGCCAGATGAACGCTATGAAGAGCAGCTGGTAAACTGTCCCTGAGGCCCAACCTGCTTGAAACGGACCACGTGTGTTTCACATTTGTAGACGCGTAACTCTGAGCGATTCGTAGTTTCTTTGTTCTGATCGCAGCTCTGTGAAGCAGGAATCCTTCGGTTGGTATTGTGCTTCTGGTTTACACAGAAGACAACATGCGTGTCATGACAGTCCTCCCTTATCTTCCCATCTCCTGCTGGTGCTATCTCCCACTTCTGGCAAAGAATGCGTGCTGCTGTGTCAGGGTGTGCAGGCGGCGGCTGACAAAGCGAGTAAACACGCAGAAAAAAGAGCTGAGATGAACCTGAGACGACTTCAAACCCGCCTCAGGTTGTTCCTGAAACAAAAAGTCAGCAAATTCTTTTTAGGGGGTCATCAAAACATATTTTCTATGAAATTTAGATACTATATTAGAACATAGCAAATATCTCTTATCGTGTTAGAGTAGACTTTTAATAATTCGTAAAAACAGTCCTGCTGCGGTTTACATCCACGTAAAAAATTTTTAAGCTGTTTAAACATTTGTGTGTAATTAATCAAATTAGCATTTGAATTCTTAACTCATGTGTTTGTGAAATCACAGGGGCCTTTGACAACGGGCAGACGTTGGAGTGTGTGAGGCTTAAATGTCAAGTATTCAAATCACATTTTCAAGTTAATCGCTTTTCTTCAGGTCGTGGAATGCTTTCCCATATTTGCAGTTTCAAAGCTGTGTTAATAAAGTTTTTACCCCACTGAGACGGGGCCTTTTCAAGCGGCTTATCATTGAATGTGCAAAGTTCTTTGCCTGAGGTTGCTTCACACTACATTTTGTTTTACTCAACCTTTAATGACTTCAATATTTTTGCTTTTCAGCTTCTCAGCAGTCCGAGTTCTGTTTCAAGTCTTGAGTATACCGAACTATTAAAACGAGTCACATAAGGCATAAACCTAGTCGCAAACATGGCCACTTATGGTTGTGTACTTGAGCCACAGTATTTCACTTTTCTCCCCCATCCGCCATGTTTCAGAAGTTATTTTAGACACATAATTCTAACTAAAGTGCAGCGACTAATTAAATGTGGAATATCTAAACATACGGCGATGTCGGGTCCTCAGTGGACTCTGATCTCTAGTTCATTGAGATAGTTTCAGCAGCTTGAAGGCCTAAATGTAGCTCTAATGACTCAGGGTGGCACCCGGGGAGAAGGACGGCGCTCTAGGGTATCTTTGGGGAAGATTGTTATCTATAGCTCCATTCATGGGCAAATGTTTCTGTCCCTTTGGTGGAGGGCGCTTCTCTCAGTGGGCTGAGCCAGGAGATAAGAGAGAAGACTAAGGGAAGGAGACAAGCTAATGGGAGGGAGATTTCCCATGGCTGACCAAACCACAAGCAGCTGGCCATCTGCTTAAACACTAAGCAGGAAAACATGATATTCCCGTAAAGCTCAGGCCATCATCGGCGATCAGT